TAGTGCAGATTTGCAAGGTGTGCTGTGCTCAGTGCCCCTCTCCTGTACTTAGTACCCCTCTCCTGTGCTCAGGTGTTCTCTGCTTGCTCTCTTCATGTTTGGAAACTTCAAGCTCCTTCCAGTTTTTCATAAAATGTGCAACAGGTTATAGTGAGCATAGTTTCTTTTAAAAATACTGTTTCCATTTGGGAAGTGAAGCCATATATATTATAAATACTTATATAATATATATATATATATATATATGTGTGTGTGTGTGTGTGTGTGTGATTTATTAGGGTGGTGTACAGGCTGTGGTCAGCTAGCCCAACAATGGCTGACTACAAACAGAAAGTCCAAGAATCCAGTAGTTGTTCAGTCCACAAGGCTGGATATCTCTACTACTCTTCAGTATATGCTAGAATCCCAAAGAAATAGACTTCTGTGCTAATGAATGTAGCTACTTTGTATATCTACTTTTTCCCCCTCCACTCTACCCTTTATCTTGTATCCTTTCAACCCCTTAACACTAGAGAGGAGAGATAAAAGGATAGAGGAGAAATAGGGCATCATCATTAGAATACTTTCCGCTGAGTCCCTTGGGGCAAGTTTAATCTTTGCTATCAAGATATCTAATTTCTTCTTCTTCTCTGCACATGACACTTAACAAACTGAACCACCCACCCAATGGGGCTCTAGCATTTATATAGCCTCTGAAAAGTTCACAGAATTCCAAAAGTCACTTGCAGAAACTGTCTACAGCTGGCAAAACCACACCGATGCTAGAGCACAAGGCAAATCATAATCAGCTGCTCTGGGCAAGCTGAAGCAGGCCCATATCCCCACACTCTGGATTAAAACAAACATATTCTTATAATCTTTCTGTGTTTTTTTTTTTTTTAAAGCTAAAGTTCTAAAATTATCACTATAAGTGAAGGAATGGACTTACCAGTGAGAGTGAGGGCAAGCAGGCAAAGAGAGAATGCTTCCTTCTTCCATGCTCTTTATGTAGGCGGCCAGCAGAAGGTGTGGCCCAGATTAGAGGCAGATCTTAAAAGTGGGCCTTCCCAACTTGAAAAGATTTCATTAAGACAAACTCTCTCACAGGTGTACCCAGCCATTTGGGTTTTAGTTAATTTCAAATGTAGTCTAATTGACAACCAAAGATAGTGTAGACGTGATTGCCCGCACGTATGTGTGTGTGCTGTGTGTCTGGTGCCCACAGAGACCAGAAGAAGACATTGGATCCTGTGGAACTGGGTACAGATAGTTATGAACTGCCAAATTGGAGCTGGGAACCAAACCTGAGTCCTCTACAAAAGCAGAAGTGCTATTAAAACCTCTCAGCCACCTCTCCAACCTTTTGTTTGCTTTTTCTGCTGCTAACGTCTTACACTAACTTGCTTTCTCCATTGGCTGGACTTCAGGCTGTCACATGGGGTCTGTGTAGTGTTTGGGACCCCTGAGTAGAACTCAGGGGCCTGTGAGCTTAGATGGGAAACTGACTCCCCTTCACCTCAACCTGACCCTGAGCTGACGGTTTTCCGGCACTTACCCAGCAGCAGCAAAGCCCCTCTGCTATTTGCAGGGCTTGGCATTCTGTCTCATGTATTTTTAGTTTAGTTATGGTGCAGCTGTCACACATGTCTCCGAGTGTTGGTGATGCTCAATATTATTTCAGAGTTATAGAAGTTGTAAGATCCATGGTTCAGATTGTGTGATTTACTGTGTTAATAAGTAGCGTGTGTGTGTGTGTGCCCCCAAATTTGATTTTCAGTGTTTGGTAACTGGGTCTTATTGTGGCTGGGGCTTTTACTTGGTTTTTTTTTTTTTTTTTTTTTTAACTCTTTGCACTTGAGAAGCACTCACACATACACTGTGGGCAGCTGCCCATCCCAGCGCTGCCAGGACTGTCTGCTTATTTACTGCCGGAGCTGCAGCGTGAGGTTTAAATTCCTGGGTTTGGTGGCAGATTTGCCCTGAACTCTGCCTGTAGCCTCACCAGTCGGTGTGAGATCCACCTGAGGCTTGGCTGAGCCCTGCCTGCTGTGAGGTGCACTACTGGGTCACCAAACTCGAGTACTTCTCTGGGCAGGAGCTAGATGCACTGTTCCGGCACTCAGGGGGCACTGTCCTCTGAGGGCCCTGGGGATGATTTTTTGGTCCCTGCATGCCTGGCTTTGTGAACAGAAAGGCAAAGATCTCAGAAGCTAGACAAGACCCACAACTAGACAGCAGTTTGGAGCCACGAAGAACCAGTGCAGAGGCTAGCACACACGAAGGAGCATTTCAGAAGCATTAAGAGAAAGGGAGTGGCCGGGGGTGTGTATTAAGTTTCTAGAAAAATGTCAAAACAGCTCTAAAAGAAAAACAACACTTTGGGGGCTGAGCTCTGAATTAGCAGCAGCCTCTCCTAGCGTGCAGCTGGCCCTGCACCACCCACTCGTGCCCATGTCCTTTGGCTCTGGCATGCACTGCTGGCAGGGCCTTTGTGTCTCTTTGTCTGCCACAAATTCCTCCACCCAGTGCCATGGGGATTGAGGCCAGCCAGATTCCCAGCCAAGGCTTTTGGAGAGATTTAGTCATGTTCAGATTCTGTTTTGTTTTGTTTTTTGTTTTTTTTTTTTTAAATTTGTAAAAAGATGGTTGCTCTTTCCTGAAATTTTTCATGAAATTTTCTTCCAAAGCACCAGAGTCCGAGTCCCAACACCCATATGAGAAGGCTCAAAAGCACCCGTAACTCTAGCTCTGTAGGATATGACACCCCTGGCCTCCTCAGGAACCCATATTCACATGTAAGCACACAGACATACATACACACATGATTAAAAACAATAACTACTTTAAAAAAAAACTAAAAGTAAGAGAGGATCTTAACCAGCCATGGACAGTTGTCCTATAGCCAAGTGGCACCTGAGGTCACAGTGGCTCTCCCCATCGGAGAAGCCTCACGTCATATGTATGGACAACCAGGCCTTGGAGGAGCTGGGCCACTTCTACACCCCCTCAACTCCTACTTAGTTACATGGGCCCAGTCATGGGGAGCCCCCCATCTTTTTATAGCAGTAGAAGCTTTTGTTGTTATTTTTCTTTTTCCTTTCTAGAAGTAATTTCTTTTAAGGTTTATTTGTGTCTGTTTCATGTATGTCTGTGTACCATGTATATGCATGCAGTGCCTGTGGAGGTCAGAAGAGGCCATCAAACACGCCTGGAGCTCAAGAAACAGGTGGTTGTGAGCCACAGTGTAGGTGCTGGGAACTGACCCAAGTCAATTCCTCTACTGGTCAGTGGTCAACTATCCCTCCAACTCCCTGTTGGGGTATTCTCTCTCTCTCTCTCTTTCCTTTTTGCTTTTCTCTTTCTTTCTTTCTTTCTTTCTTTCTTTCTTTCTTTCTTTCTTTCT